TCTCAAGGGAAGACCTCCAAGAGAGTGCTCCTCCTGCTACAACCGCACCGGCGGAAACAAGCTTCACCACGAAACAGAATGCACGCACGGCGAAGCCGGGTGGTGATGCCAGTTTAAACCGGGATGGTGAGACCAAGTTTGATCCGGGCCCGCTGATAAAAGAGGGCTCTGTCATGCAACGTTCCCTTTTTCTGGAACATGACGAAAACGACCAGGATGAACGCGGATGTATGGAAGCTGTTTCGGCATTCCTCGCTGCAGTTGTCCACGATGCCGACAAACAGGACTCTAAGCGAGAAGCAGCTGAAGGGGCCTCACCGGCGCTGCTGCAGACGAGCAAAGGGGCCGGAACAATCGAGTGCCTGGATTCTGCTCGTGAATTGCTACGCTTCTTCGGTCACGCGCCTCTGCTCCACCTGGAGGGGGTCATTTGGGTCAAAACATCGGGGGAGCGAGGTACCAACGTACCGTAGGTCGCAGTAGACACCACACCTCCTGGACCGACTCTCAAAAAACATTTACTCTGCAGCATCTACAGTGATAGCACCCCAAATGGTGGTGTGGGGACGGTCTCGTTGAGAGCCGACAATGTATCACTTGATTTTGAATTATTTTACGTCCCACGGGCGCAATCGAGCTTTGAAACTCGGCCCAGGGGGTGTGGTATCTTATGCGACTTACTGTACGCTATTTACATAGGTATGCCACAAGTCTACTGTAAGTGTTGTAGAGTGATAAATGCCGTTCTTGTTTTTGTCATGCTCTCACTTGGCCTCCCTCATCATATCTGCATTCACACATCGTATTCGAGGGACAGAGCGGCGACAAGGCGTCACCCCCTTTGTTGCCTTAACGAAGGAATTTGTAGATTGATACCTCTCCTCCACTATTGCCCATGCACCCCCCCGATGTAACAAAACTTTCACACTCTGTACAACTTAAACTAATAACTAACTAAGTTAGTTGTTTGCCAGACAACCACTGGCTAGTTGTTCGTAGACACCTAGTTGCGCACGCTCCTGGAAGAGTAGGTGTCTGCAGACAACTAGGTGCGCACGATTTGGGAAAGTAGGTGCCTGAAGGCAACTAGGTGCGCACGCTCCTGAAAGAGTAGTGTAGGTGTCTGCAGGCGACTAGGTGCGCACCCTCCTGGAAGAGTAGGTGTCTGCAGGCAACTAGGTGCCCGAGCAGTTGTCAACCACAGAATCGCGCACACAAGCACACACATAAACACAGACAGACACGGGCAGATGTCAAAATAGAACAATTGGTTGCCGGCACAGGTGGACTACTGCATACATCACGCACACACGCACACAGGCTGACTACTACGCAGGTGTCAATATAGAAGAATTCGTTGCTGCCGGCACAGCAGGAGACTACCGAACCCCACGCACTCGAACTCACAGATACACACGGACGGGCAGGTGTCATGCTCGCGGAATATCACACAGCTTGCTTGCGTTTGTCGTGGTTTGCTTCACCAGGAATAGATGATAAAGGTTACGATTGGCCTGATCTTCCTCGTGTGCCCCCCTTTTCTGCGCAGAAACGACCTCACAACACTACTACTGCTATACAACTAACTAAACTAACTAATAAGCCAGCTAAGTTGTTTGCCAGACAACCACCGGCTAGTTGTTCAGAAACACCTAGGTGCGCACAAACTTGAACCAGTAGGTGTCTGCAGGCAACTAGGTGCGCACGCTCCTGAAAGAGTAGTCATCTACAGGCAAAGAGGTGCGCGCGCTCCTGGAAGAGTAGTCATCTATCGGCAACTAGGAGCCCACACTCCTGGAAGAGTAGGTGTCTGCAGGCAACTAGGTGCGTCAGCTGTAGATGGAAGAAGTGTCCTACTTGTAGTGCAATTATCTCAGCATGGACCACGTTTGTCTGTCGGAAATTGCAAAGCAAATTTCGTCTTCTCCCGCATGCATTACCTGTCGTACGGTACACCCGTAATGCCGTTGAACATATGAACAGCCCATTGCCTCGCGGCGCTCTCCAACTGGAGCCTCTTCCTCCTGCCCTTGCGCGATCCGTCGTTCATCGGTGGGGTCCTCCATGGTTTCAAGAAGGGGAAGAGAAACATCTCGGACCGAATAGTGGAGGTTCCTCTCGGCTCGATCGTTAGCGTTGCCCCTGTCGGCGGGCGGGAGCACCTCAAGACATTCCGAACCGTTCAAGCCAACATGGTGTCCAGACCTTTCCGCATCACTGCCGCCAAGAAGCTTGCCCATTGCGAATCGGCGGTTGGATCTGCTGCTGACAAGGGGCCTGAGACGAGTGCTTCCGGAGCAGACGAACATCGCCATATTCTGCTCGTAGGCTTCGAGGACATTTGTCGCCTCCGACACTTTTTGGTGGTCGCATGCGAGAGCTGGGCCATCAGGAACGGCGTTGGAACCCCTGCGAAGGAGCTGCTGTCGTGCGCCCCGGTGGCCGCGCAACGCTACCTTGCGGGTGTTCTGGAGGTGATGACGGGACCTCTTCGTGATCAGGTGCTGCAAACCGGAGGGACCGTACGTGCGGCTGTGGTCCAGCCTGGGGTACAAGCACTGGCCGGCCATGGGGTGGCGGGATGGCACATGTCTTAACAGTGACCGATTGTTCAAAGCATGTGTAGAATCGGACGCAACCGTATCATCCGACGGATTCAAGTGCAATGACTAAAAAAAATATCTGTAGATCTCATCGGCCTTGTATTGACTCTGTTGAGCGCTTTCGCGACGTGGGGTCCTGTGTGTTTTTTACCGACACGGGCGTGAAAGAGTTGCCTCGTCAGCAATGCCACCTCGCTTGGGTGTTCCCCGAACCGATACGCTGTCAACATCGTTGAAGGAGAATTTGTGTTCCTGATAGACCTACCTACTTTGAAGACCAAAACAACGTTGTTTTTGTACCTTGCTTTCGAGATCCTGATGCCCGCACAACGACACCCAGGTCGACGCCCAGGTAGAACTCATGGAAGACCTCGCAGACGAGATGATACTGGATGCTGTGGTCAAGGAGGCGTTTTTTTCTACGGGTGACATCTTCTTCGAAATTTCTAGAAGGCTAGAGGCGGCAGCAGCTACCGTTGCCGCGTGCTCGGCAGTCAATACCGCAGCAGGGGAAACTGCGTTCCGTCACGATGGCTTTGATGGCAGGCGAGCGGTGGTTTCGGACGCTCGCTTGATCTCCGCCACCGCCGCCGTCCTTGACGCAGCATTTTTTCACAGCATTCAGATTCCACGAAGGATCGATCTCGTCGGACGGCCGAAGCCAATGTCTCTTCCAGCCGTAGCCGAGCACCTCGTCTTCGTCTATTGTGCCTTGTGCCGTCGAATAGTGACGAATTGCGAGGATGGGGCCGACAGCAGTGACATCGATGCTGGAGGCAAAAACGACCTCAAAGGTTTCCCACCGGCGGGGATTGAGCGTTTGGCTGAAGGCGCGATGTCGCCGTTGGACACCTTGTCCACGGGCGTCCTGGACCGTCTTGTTCGGGCACTCAACGGTATAAGCGACGTGAGTATTCCAAACCTCTGTTTGTTGTCTCCCTCCGCTCACTCACGTTTGTGCCTATATTGAGAGCGAGCCATGAGTTCCCAACGGCGACAGACTTGCTCGAACCCGGTCACTGATCCGCTGTCTTAGCTCCTGCACCCCGACACCACGGAACTCATCCTTCTTTGACGCGTTTCTCACTTCCCAGGTTATCAGCCTGTTCAACATAGAGAACGAACACCTGGGTATTGTTCGGAACCTAGTCGGCGTTGGGCTCGGCGTCAAGGTGCGCGTGGGAATCCAACCCGCCGCCTCGGATGCGCTAGCCTTCGTCGTCAGGGTCAACGACCGGGCCGTCGACCTTATCCAGGACCTCGATCGGCGGGAGCAAGAACGGCGACAGCTGGAGGCAGCAAGGTGGGTAGCACCTGGACCTGTCAGCGTCTCGCCCACTTCCGAGAAGAGCAGGGGCAAGAGGAGGAGCATTTTCGCTAGGCTTGGTTCTCTCTCCCCACGCCCCCGTAGATCGGTAACCCCGCCCTTGTCTCCGCCATCGCCAGCCGTCGAGCCACCAGTAGGATATCCACCGATCAACGAAAACAGCGACGTCAGGACAAACCATATTTTGGAAGGCGGCAGCGGGAGTGCCAGCAAGACCACAGCTCGAGCGGGCGTACCCAAACAAGAGAAGAGTGATGTGGACAACGCCAGCGGGGGCTTATTCGATGACTCAGTAGGTTTGGAAGGGCGGCGGGGAGGTGGAAATAGCGTTGGGCCTCCTCCACTACCCTCGGCGACGCAGTGTTTTGAATCTCAAGCTTCTTCTCGTCGAGGATTTCTGTCGAGTGCACCAGTGCTTTTGCACTCATACGCAAAGCTGTTGAGCGCGTTGGTGTGTGGGAGTTACAACTTGAGGGAGGCCTTCTTCTCTTCCTGCGAAGTAGATATCCGCAACATAGGTCGAGAGGGCGGCTACCTCGACGTTTTATCTAGGCTGGACGGAGGGGCGCCGCGATTGGTATTCAGGCAAACCGCCGTGTTCTTGCACGAGATAGCCAACTTGTTTTATTCGTTCAATTCGGCCGTGAGAAAATGAATGCACACATTGATGCTTTCCACGACGGTATGCATACAACACGAACTCCTGTGCTTGTTCGGAAAAAAGCCCCGGGGCAGGCGCAATCAATCACCTTGGAGGGCACGAAGATGGAGTCATTAGTCCATACTTGTAGCTCAATTTTGTGGGAGCAAAAGCCAGCACAATCCTCATCTTGTACAGTCTCGGTACCGCGCATAGTTGTGGCAGATCATGTCCACGCGTGAGGCGCCAAGAGTATCGGGATTGTTCGTGCTTCCCCCTAAGCTGAAACTGTGGATCATGGTGCCAGAACGTAAATTACACCCCGCTGTCCTGTGACGCGCTTGTCCGCTGTCGCGTTGGTTCTTCCGAAAGCAAGACCGCAAGCCATCCGCACGGGTCACTTCTAATATTTGAAAAATGGAACGCGCATGTGCGCGACCAACTCAACCAAGCAACGAGACCTTTGCGCCACCTGCACCGTCCCGCATACAGATACAGGCGCTACAATAGTTACCATTTTTTTTGTAGTCGGCTCGTCACGCCTGCGACTATTCCTATCTCGTACGCGCTAATGACAGAACAACACTGCCGAGACAATGAATATCCGTGCCGGCCGCCATATCATATGATGACGACAACCGCCAATCACTTGTCTTGGCGTCCTTGACGCCACCAGAAGTTTCAAGCAGCTGGGTGACGGCGGGCACTACAACACGTCAACTAGGCCCTCAAGTATCAATTGACAGAATGCGAATCAAGACTCTCTATCTGCCTATGCCTGTGGGACACAAAGAGGGCACACACGGGCCTAACGGAATCACTTCACATGAGATCGAAGACCTTCCCTTGTCCACTCGCAACGCAACCTGCCGCGCCCCGACACAAACTAAGTTATTAAGCAAAGCTACACTTCAACAATCACAAATAATAATAGTAGCAATACAAATGGGAGGGAGTGTCATACACAGGTCAAAGCGCGCGAAAAAAATGCGACACGCATAGCAAGCCGAACAATCTCCACGAAATAACGCCTTTCAAACAAATGTGCGCAACATCGAACGGTATAGCTGTACACACATGGACGCGCCGCGCCGCGACTACACCACACATAGGACCGAAACGATACACTGCACGGGCTTTCGGAACAATAAACAGTCGTACACCACGACAAACACGAAAAAAGAGGTGGTGCTGTAAGCGGAGATCATCAAACACAATACATGTCCCCACCCGAACGTTCCGAATAGCCAACTGCCCATGATAACCCAGAACAGAAACAAGCTCATTTAAACGAGCTACCGCTGTACAACACAGTGTTCCATATGAACAAGTCCTGGCGACCAATCTAAGTGTCAAGGGTTGTGAACGCCCTGCAATGAATACATGATAATCTGCTTTGTTCCCTTCAAATCATACCAAACATGTCCAGACAATCCTCTTGAAGAAAAACAACCCCAACACCAAAATTCAATGCCATGTCCATAAAAAGTACACCATCAAACTAATGATGGAAAACCGACAGAGGAGGTGAAAGCAATGTTGGGAAAGCCTCAGTAACAAAGTGATGCTGTCATGGTCCCAATGCTTCTGGTAACAGCTCCCCTGTTGCAACAACTATGCTCGATTCTCATCAGAATCCGCCCTCTGGGGCTCCGTGGACCATACCGACCGTTGGGTATCCCAAATAATAGTCTAAACGTACAGCGACCCCGTAGTTGTTTTGGTGCCAACACACTTGCAATGTGGCAAATGACCCTTGGTTAATCTCACAAAAACATGTCCGCAATATTCTTCAACCCGAACCAAGCTGGCTGCTCTCAGCGAAAGCAAGAGCGCACAGTCCCGTCCGCAAATCAAACTGAAACACATATCTTAACTTGCTTGAAGCTGCTCAGAACGACAACAATGACACAGTATTCGCTCGTAAGCCTTGAAACCAACGAAGCCATTTTCACCGAGGCCATCCGAAATCACTCAATATTGTAACAAGTCATCGCAGAATAAAACACACAGGTATCGCCGTTGCCGTTTTTCCGGAGCCCCCACCGTCCTCCTTTGTCGCAGCGATTCTACGTTTCGATGATGCCTGTCGCACAACCCGAGCGCTTGCCGGTCGGCACGCACAGCCCACCGATCTTTCGGGGTCCCATCTCCGTTAGCCGTGGCTAGGTGCACTCCCTTCGGCGACATATGTCGCCGCCGTTATGTTGCTGAGGCCGTTCTTGCTGGCGCCCTCCCTCCCCGCCCCTTCCTCGCCGACGGCGGCGATCGCCTTGGTCGAAGGGGCCTCGTCCGCCCCGCCGAGGACGCTGCCATTCCCGACGGTTTCATTCGTGACCGCGCTCGCTGCCGCCGCCGCCGCTGCCGCCGCCTCCTCGCGCGGCAACAGGACCCAAATCTGAAAGAAGTCGATCGAAAATGATGCGCACAACACGGCCACTCCGACCGCGCACAGCAAAGGGGACGAACCCTCCGCCCCGCCCCGCACCCACCATCCCTCCGCTCCGGTTCCCTCAAACACCGCCGTGTCGGCATCCCCGCCGCCGCCGCCGCCGCCGCCGCCGTTCCTTACGGCGCCGTTTCCGACGGAAGCCGCAAGAGCAGCAACGCTAGCAAGAGCGGCCATTTTGGCGACCCACCGCCCGGCGGGGCCAATGGGCGAGGGCGGGAGCTCGCGAGCGCCGGTGGCCAACACAAAGAGGTACCGGAGGACGCCTGCGATAACCCCCCCACGCCACGCCTGCACAAGAGGAACGGAGCGGGGG